GGACAGTGTCTTGGACGGGACAGGGAGCTTCGGGGCGTAAACACTTCTTTTGCCTGCATCACAATATGAGGGGAATCCAGCCCTGGATATAAAACACAAACACCAACAGCAGACAACAGGGGCTTCCGCACCGGATAGCTCTAGGAACTCAGTTACAGGAACTATCCACCAGTGTGGTTCCCCGAGAACTGATGGTTCCTCTAGGAGCGTTTCCTGGTTGCGTTCGCTCTTCAGGAACTCTAAATGTCGTGAGACTCGCTTGTGCTGTGACGTTTACTATGACGGCGCTGAGAACGACTGAGCTCACAGTGCTCGCATTCTCCTGTTTATTAGTTTATGATCTGTCTAACAGTCCTGTCGAATACCTCATTAGAAAGAACTGTTATACATAGAAAGTAGACAGTAATACAGTTATTAGCGTTTGCCGTGCGGTTGATGTCCAGTGTTGCTGAGCAGAAATACATAATCATGTTTCTCTCTGTCCCTCAAAGCTGTGTTGGATTTTCTCCTCAGCGTAAAGGGTGAGAGCTCCATCTATCACTGTTTTACATGTTCGTAGAGTTAGTTTCTGGAGTAAATATATAGGCTATAATCTTTGCGTTTACACTGCTTTTTAATAATGGCAGGTGCTGGCGTTTCGTGTGCGTTCGGCCAATCAGAGAACACTAAAGTCACTGTAGTTCCTGTATCTTAGACAGACTCTGGAGGAGGAGTAATTTAGTTCCTCCAAAAGGAGTTCCTAGAACTAAAATAGTTCCTAGTTCCTGCGGTGCGAACGCGCCGACATCCGGGAACTTCCGCCAGTAGTTCTAGGAGCGATGAAGAGGTGATGAAGAGGATCCTCCGGTGCGAAAGCCGCTATTCTTGTTCATCTTAAGCAAATTTGATGGACAGAATTTGAATTTAGTGTGAATGCAGCTACTCTCCTGAGATCTGTGAAAGATCGAACTGCAGATCTAACTTCGGTCGGTCTTATATAGTTTGAATCAGCATGAGGCTAATCCCTGCAATGCTAATGACGGCTGTAGTTATTTCTGATCATTCTTCCACAGCTCTTCTGCTCAGAGTCTCCCTGGTTCCTTTAAGGCCGAGGATCAGACCCGTACACAGCTTTCTGCGCGCGATAACATCTGCAGGAGGGAAAGGGTTTAGCTTTCTGTCCTCCGCTAGTGTGCTTTTCAGATCGATAGAAGAAGAGTCTCTCGAGCGCCTGAGCTCTGGGTATCAGTGACACCGCGCTGAAGGTCACGGACGACTAATCCTCATCTAATATACAAGATTCATGTTGTTTACAGAAGCACTGGTCACAATCCGGCTGCTATTGAGCTTGGAATTTACTCAACATTTCTTTTTTGTTTGTCAGTCTAGTTGAGTTGGACTTGATGTTACAGTGTTTGTCGTAACGGCTGGGAAACCCGTCACTGTAACACACTGAACTATTAAAACTGCTCCCAGTCCCCATACTAACATCTGTAATGGGCAGTGATACGGGCTGGGAGTGTGTGTGTGTGTGTGTCAGCACATTCCCCCGCTTCAGGTTCAGATGTGAATTATTCATTGGGTTCTTCCGCCACTGGATCTGTGTTCGCACTGAGCATCAGACGGGCTTCAACACTCACAGATATACGTGTTTAGCTTTAACATCAGGATCAAACGATGACTCAGGAGATATTCATGTCATTTTGAGCAAACATCAGTTGCTGGACTCAAGGGTCAAAATGAAATGTTAAAAATGTTGGGGAAAATATATAATAATATATAAATAATAATAAAGGAGGAAAAATAAAACACACAACCTTCACTTGTATAGCAGAAAAACTGAATCTATTTGAACTATCCTTGTGTGTATAAAGTGTATCATGTGAATGGATGTTAAAGAGGTCCTATCCTCCATTTATGGATTATATTTTCCCTATACGGTCCACACACACACACACACACACACACACACACACACTGATAGGAACGCTGTTTTAGATGCTGAGCAGATTATTTGACTAACGATTTTCTCGAGAATAACATAAATAAATAAATAAAATAAATACACTGATTTATACACTACTGATTAAAAGATTGGGGCTGGAAAGATTTTTATTGAAAGAAATTTATACTATTTTGATGCTATTTTGATGATTTCTGAAGGATCATGTGACACTGAAGACTGGAGTAATGATGCTGAAAATCAGCTTTGATCACAGGAATAAATTACACTTTACTATATATTCACATAAAAAACAGATATTTTAAATTGTAAGTCAGGCATGTGATCAGCTAAATACAAAAAAGCCCAACCCCCAGTAATTATTATAATAAAAATATTTTATCAAATTAAAAAATATATATCTTCTATTACATACTATGTAATCTAAAATAAAAAAATCAAGTATTTAATAATTATGATAATAAAATATTATACTATAATACAATATATGTTATAAATTATATTATTATTTAATATTAAAAATAAATTATTAATAGAATTGTTGTTATTATTAATATTAACAATGTTAATAATTATTATCATTATTATTATTATTTTATTTAAAACAACAACAGTATAATTACAATACTACGGTTGTCTTAATTTCTTTGCTTTCAAACATTAAAACATTGAGCTTTATTAATTTTTAACGCTCCTCTTTGTCGACAACAACAGATTCATAACTGATTCTCATGAGGAGTTTGGGCAGATGATGGACACACGTTGTGTAAATGATAAGCGACTCGAACGCTTACAGAGAAGCATTAACTGTGATCTGGACTGAAATGAGCAGTGCTGAGCTTTACTCTGAAACATGCAGCGCGTCAAACTACAGATTTATAGGATTACAGCACAACTGTAGAGATCTGATGATCACACGAGCACCAAACACCGGCTGCTTCGGTCAGATCTAACCGAACGGGATCATGAATCAAGGCTGTGTCCTGATCAGCGCACACACTGCTATATCTGCGTGTGAAGCTCAGCGTTCCCTGCATACGGACGGGGATCGGGATAAACGCTCCCAGACGGGAATGGGATCAGGATAAACGCGCTCCCAGACGGGATCGGAATCAGGATAAACGCGCTCCCAGACGGGATAGAGAGACTGGATCGGGATTAACGCTCCCAGACGGGATACGGAGACGGGATAAACGCTCCCAGACGGGATCGGGATAAACACGCTCCCAGACGGGATCGGGATAAACGCGCTCCCAGACGGGATTGGGGATAAACGCTCCCAGACGGGATCGGGATAAACACGCTCCCAGACGGGATCGGGAGACAGGATCGGGATAAACGCTCCCAGACGGGATTGGGATAAATGCGCTCCCAGACGGGATCGGGATAAACGCTCCCAGACGGGATCGGGATAAATGCGCTCCCAGACGGGATCGGGATAAACGCTCCCAGACGGGATCGGGATAAATGCGCTCCCAGACGGGATCGGGATAAATGCGCTCCCAGACGGGATCGGGATAAAGCTCCCAGACGGGATCGGGATAAACGCTCCCAGACGGGATTGGGATAAACGCGCTCCCAGACGGGATCGGGATAAACGCTCCCAGACGGGATAGGGATAAACGCTCCCAGACGGGATAGAGAGACGGGATCGGGATAAAAGTTCCCAGACGGGATACGGAGACGGGATCGGGATAAACGCTCCCAGACGGGATCGGGATAAACACGCTCCCAGACGGGATCGGGGATAAACGCTCCCAGACGGGATCGGGATAAACTTGCTCCCAGACGGGATCGGGATGAACGCTCCCAGACGGGATCGGGAGACAGGATCGGGATAAACGCTCCCAGACGGGATCGGGATAAATGCGCTCCCAGACGGGATCGGGATAAATGCGCTCCCAGACGGGATCGGGATAAACGCGCTCCCAGACGGGATCGGGATAAACACGCTCCCAGACGGGATCGGGATAAACGCTCCCAGACGGGATAGGGATAAACGCGCTCCCAGACGGGATCAGGATAAACACGCTCCCAGACTGGATAGGGATAAACGCTCCCAGACGGGATCGGGATAAACGCGCTCCCAGACGGGATTGGGATAAACGCGCTCCCAGACGGGATCGGGATAAACGCGCTCCCAGACAGGATCGGGATAAACGCTCCCAGAGGGGATCGGGACAAACGCTCCCAGACGGGATAGGGATAAACGCGCTCCCAGACGGGATCGGGATAAACGCGCTCCCAGACAGGATCGGGATAAACGCTCCCAGAGGGGATCGGGATAAACGCGCTCCCAGACGGGATCGGGATAAACGCGCTCCCAGACGGGATCGGGATAAACGCGCTCCCAGACGGGATCGGGATAAACGCGCTCCCAGACAGGATCGGGATAAACGCTTAAAGGCTCCCAGACAGGATCGGGATAAACGCTTAAACGCTCCCAGAGGGGATCGGGATAAACGCGCTCCCAGACGGGATCGGGATAAATGCTCCCAGACGGAGAGAAGCGTCTCGACATGCAGGAGAACAGCACCAGGGCAGAAGAAGGCTCTCCTGCGATGGAAACTGCTGCTTCTGGATAAGAGCTTATCTATTATAAAGTCTTTTCCTCTCCACTATCATACAGATATACACAGAATCAGGAGAAAAGCGGACCGGATCGTTCCCGGTATAGTTGTGGTGTGGGCTCTGATATTCTTTTATATTTAGAAAGATTTTTAGAACCATATCTGAATCGTTATCGTTCTTGGTGTGAATGGGCCTTTAGTCATGGAAAAAAGGTTGTCGCTGAAAACATTTTCTCATAGTTTTCCTTAACTAAACTAACACTAATGTGCGCAAGGAATTTTAGAGTCCGACTGAGATAACAGATTGAGTCAGATTGAGAGGGATTATGCAGAGAGTATTGGTGTTACCTGTGTGAGCATCAGAGGGATTAAGAAGAGAGTATTGGTGTTACCTGTGTGAGCACATCCAGCTGTGAGATGATGTGCTGCAGGGTGCTGGTCAGCGCAGCGGGAACACGGTCCACCTCCGTCTGCGAGTCCACAATTGCTCCAGGCGAGTCCACACCGGCTCTGCTGGCACTCCTGTGTGAGGATCGGCCAGCGGACACACCAGCGGCTTCTGACTCCTGCAGGAGAGATGCTAAACTGTTACTGACATCCATCTGAACGTGCTTCACATGATCCGTCACTGTGTGCCCTTCCTTCTGATATACAAAATTTGCTGTGATTGGTCAGCTGGCCTAGTGTGCTGTGATTGGTCAGCTGGCCCAGTGTGCTGTGATTGGTCAGCTGGCCCAATGTAGTGTGATTGGTCAGCTGGCCCAGTGTGCTGTGATTGGTCAGCTGGCCCAGTGTAGTGTGATTGGTCAGCTGGCCCAGTGTGCTGTGATTGGTCAGCTGGCCCAGTGTGCTGTGATTGGTCAGCTGGCACAGTGCGCTGTGATTGGTCAGCTGGCCCAGTGTGCTGTGATTGGTCAGCTGGCCCAGTGTGCTGATTGGTCAGCTGGCCCAGCGTGCTGTGATTGGTCAGCTGGCCCAGTGTAGTGTGATTGGTCAGCTGGCCCAGTGCGCTGTGATTGGTCAGCTGGCCCAGTGCAGTGTGATTGGTCAGCTGGCCCAGTGTGCTGTGATTGGTCAGCTGGCCCAGTGTAGTGTGATTGGTCAGCTGGCCCAGTGTGCTGTGATTGGTCAGCTGGCCCAGTGTGCTGATTGGTCAGCTGGCCCAGTGTGCTGTGATTGGTCAGCTGGCCCAGTGTAGTGTGATTGGTCAGCTGGCCCAGTGCGCTGTGATTGGTCAGCTGGCCCAGTGCAGTGTGATTGGTCAGATGGCCCAGTGCGCTGTGATTGGTCAGCTGGCCCAGTGTGCTGTGATTGGTCAGCTGGCCCAGTGTGCTGTGATTGGTCAGCTGGCCCAGTGTAGTGTGATTGGTCAGCTGGCCCAGTGTGCTGTGATTGGTCAGCTGGCCCAGTGTGCTGTGATTGGTCAGCTGGCCCAGTGTAGTGTGATTGGTCAGCTGGCCCAGTGTGCTGTGATTGGTCAGCTGGCCCAGTGTGCTGTGATTGGTCAGCTGGCCCAGTGTGCTGATTGGTCAGCTGGCCCAGTGTGCTGTGATTGGTCAGCTGGCCCAGTGTGCTGATTGGTCAGCTGGCCCAGTGTGCTGTGATTGGTCAGCTGGCCCAGTGTGCTGTGATTGGTCAGCTGGCCCAGTGAAGTGTGATTGGTCAGCTGGCCCAGTGCGCTGTGATTGGTCAGCTGGCCCAGTGTGCTGTGATTGGTCAGCTGGCCCAGTGCGCTGTGATTGGTCAGCTGGCCCAGTGCGCTGTGATTGGTCAGCTGGCCCAGTGCGCTGTGATTGGTCAGCTGGCCCAGTGTAGTGTGATTGGTCAGCTGGCCCAATGCGCTGTGATTGGTCAGCTGGCCCAGTGCGCTGTGATTGGTCAGCTGGCCCAGTGCGCTGTGATTGGTCAGCTGGCCCAGTGCGCTATGATTGGTCAGCTGGCCCAGTGTAGTGTGATTGGTCAGCTGGCCCAATGCGCTGTGATTGGTCAGCTGGCCCAGTGCGCTGTGATTGGTCAGCTGGCCCAGTGCGCTGTGATTGGTCAGCTGGCTCAGTGTGCTGTGATTGGTCAGCTGGCCCAGTGTAGTGTGATTGGTCAGCTGGGCCAGTTCGCTGTGATTGGTCAGCTGGCCCAGTGCGCTGTGATTGGTCAGCTGGCCCAGTGTAGTGTGATTGGTCAGCTGGCCCAATGCGCTGTGATTGGTCAGCTGGCCCAGTGCGCTGTGATTGGTCAGCTGGCTCAGTGTGCTGTGATTGGTCAGCTGGCCCAGTGTAGTGTGATTGGTCAGCTGGGCCAGTGCGCTGTGATTGGTCAGTTGGCCCAGTGTGTTGTATATCCGGAAGCTCTACACAGATGTAAACACTAACGATGGTGTCAATTTCAAACCATTTCAAACCGAGCCCAATTGACCGTTCGCAAAAGCCACGCCACCTAGTTATTGTTACTACGCCCGTCGAACAAATGGTCAAACACGACCAGCGCGACAGATTGCCATGACGGGAAGAGGTATACCCGTGCGTGTCAGTGACCCTTTTTTGGAGCAATACTTCCGCGATATCCTCCAGATCGAGGCACAAGGGGTTACAGTATGCAGTGGAGGGATATATTCAAAATATAAAAATACGCAATGAAGGAGACACAACTACTATCGAGGCGAATGCTTACCAGGTCTCAAGCGAAATCTGAGAAACCCCATGACCTGTACCTCAAATGCAACCAGCACAGCCTTGAAGAAGATTTTATAAGCTGGTTCAGTGGCTAATGTTTGGAGTTAAAAATATATAACTCGCGCTGCATATTTAGTAATTTTGCCTCAGATACAGGATTATTCGCTTTAACAAGCAGGTTGTTCATTACCACGGCAACCGCTTGCGTGTCATGCTGAATGCGATTTTCGTGTTCAAAATATAACTATACATAAGAGACGGAAATATGCAGATAACCATACATCATTTAAGGTTATTTCTATTCGTTACGATATTGATATATGAACTGATGTTGTCAAATAAGCTTCATGCTCTTTCCCCGTTGCGAGCGTGCACTCCTCTAATCTGTAGTCTGCTGCACTGCTAGTTGACTGCTGCTCATTTCCCCCCGAGAATATCATGTTAACAACAACCCTTTAGAAAACGTAATTCCTTTGTGGATCCTCTTGATCTGCTTTCTCCATGTTTCTTTGACTAATCTCAGTGTCTCAGTCTCACGCACGCTGCACGCGAGTTAACCATGTTCGACACATGTAACTGGGAGTGGGGCCGTCCACACTGTTTTTATCCATTGTAGGCACCGCTCACTTTGTGTTTTCGGCTTTGGAAACGGAAAGAACACAACTCCTCCAGACAATCTCTCGGGGTACCTAGTGTCCGACTAACAAACGCCGTGGGCGCACCGCTTCACCATCTTGCTTGGAGTCAATGCTTGACGGACCTGCTCACATAGTAACGGTTGCTATGTTGTGTGATTGGACAATGGCCGTTTTGTGGGAGGGGCTTGCGAACGGTCAATTAAGACCCTGAAAATGTCAACGAACAAGAGGCTCGTGCTGAACGGTGCTGAACGTTTCACTGGTATGTTTTTTTTCATCCACCATTTAATCATATTTGTCGTAAAACTATGTTAATACAAACAGTAATCACAAAATCCTGGATAATTCCTAAGGGGCGGTGAACAGTCTTACAAAAGCTCCAGTAAACACTAGATCAATACTGTAATGTTAGCACTAGCAGGCTACTGGAGGCAAAGCTTTGCCCTTCATTTACATCACAGCGATCATAGCAACTACATAAAGCTTATAACTGGCACTGTTAATACACAACGAGACATACTTTTGTGCGTATAGCCTGCACTGTACTCTATTCTGGAAGCTGTTCTCAGTAAAATGTGCAGCGCACAGACGAACGCTGAGATTATAATGTTCAGGAACAGTGAAATCATAATTAAGGGCTCTTTAAATGACCCGTTATGCCATCCTCCTTATTGTTACTTAGTGACTTTTGCGTTCTTCGGCTACGGCAGTAAGCGATTTACTTCTGGTCGCCTTTGCTGTTCTATCAGCAGCTGTTGCAAGTCCTAATTAAAAACATTGATGCGGTCACATGTGTTTCTGGTGATAGTTTGAGAAATCATGTGATAGTTTAATGAGAGTGCTGAATGTAAAGGCCAGCTGTGTAATTCACTCATGTTGCCCGGATACAGTGTTATGGACACAAATGAGACTAACAGCATATCTGACTGATCGCCACTGGAAGACAAGAGACACGGAAAAGCCATCTACATCACAACTGCTCCATCAATAAAACATATTACACCAATAAAGACTGATATTAAACCCATGATCAAAGATACTTATAAACACTTTTACCACCTGGAGCAGTATGTGTCAGGAGTACATTACACTCCTGTTTGCTTCCCAGAGTTTGTCCTTGTATGTAAGGCTGATGGGTTGAAGGTCCATGATAGTAATCCACATGAAACTGAAACCACAGACAGACGACTGAAGTCTGTGTGTGTCCAAGCGTATAACTGCTGTAGTTGTTGTTCGGTGCGATTACTATCGAGAGGAGAACAAGAGAACAGATCCTGTGAAAGGACTTCATGAATGAATCTGCCTGATACTGATGAGGAGGATTGAACAAGGAAGACCAAGAGTGAATAAGAGAAGTTCTCAGATCAACAATCAACTGCCAAAGCATGAAGTTCAGAGATCAGAAGCTTCAGGGAGACTCATCTGTTCAGAGCAGAGCATATGGAAACTCTTCTTGAACGTGTAAAGTTTTCAATTAGAACCATGTCAAAAAGATCATCATGTACAGACACATTTGGTCCAAGGGTTCGGCATCATGTCTGAGTTCTTCTGAAAGAGGCAAAAGGGAAATATAAACAGCCATTCGACTCGTTCGGAGAACAAAGACGGCATAAAGCGGCTCCTGGACACATCTGGCAAACAGGTGCCATTCGAGAGCCTCTTCCTGGGCCAAGATAGGTAAATATTTGCCTGTGTGACCCTGGTGATTCCAGGTCTGTTCAACACAGGCTGATGTGATGGTGGAAGAAAGCCGTCCGCTGAACACCAGCAGGTCTGAGAATGGTGAAATACGGAGTCCTCTAAGATCCAAGTTCTTTAGATCGAATATTATCACATGGAATCAATGTTGATGTCAATGAAATACTGCAGCAGAGCGATGACATCTCAGATCATTATCTAGTCTCGTGCAAACTTCATTTAGCCAAGGCTGCAATGCCGACTCTGTGTTACAAATATGTTAGACCTATCACTTCTGCCACTAAAGATTGCTTTATTAATAATCTTCCTGATCAGTTTCATCATCTCAGCATCCCGGATAGCTTAGAAGAACTTGACTCTCTTTTCCAGCACTTTAGACACAGTTGCTCCGTTGCGCTTAAAGAAGATTAAAGAAAATAGTCCTTAAGAGAGCAGCCAGAAAAATGGAGCGCAACTGGAAGAAAAAAAAACTAGACTTTTTTTCTTATTTTTTGGAAAGAGAGCACGATTGCGTACAGAAAGGCCTTAAAAACTACTAGATCTGCTTATTTTTTCAAACCTCCT